TATATATATATATATATATATATATATATATATATATATATATATATCATTTAACCCTTCTTGAACCAATAATAATATACTCTCAGAAGAAACAGCGCTGAAAGCTAAGGTTGATGAATAAGAATGTAGCATAAATAAAGTGAAGGATAAGACATTTATCTTGGGAGTGGTCTGCAGTCTACTAGGAGCAAGTCATATAACAATGTACTGGGGAAAGATGACCACAGTGACTCATGTAATCCATGTACTCTCCATTAAAAACATGTTCATGACAAATGTGCCTCATTCTACTTATCAAAGGTGAGGATTTTCTTGATATTTCAGAAAAATGAATACTAATATCAGGAGTGTAATCTTGAAGATAAGTTGATAGAACATTCATTTTTCAATATTTTAACTGACATTTATGATAACCCAGATGTTGTGTTTATAGATAATTCATATGAAGCCAGGAAAGATCACTTCATGTGAAGAAGTCTAAACAAATTGAGAGACAAAATGAAAAAGACAGGAAAAAAAACTACAATCATTTAGGATGCAAGTCAATAAAATAGTAGCATAAGATACCTGAAAGTAACTCAGAAATTCACTGATTAATAGTATGGCTAGGTGTTATAATGTACACTGGAGGCTTAGAACTCAGGAGAATGAGGCAGGTTGAATATGAATTTGAGAACTGTCTGTGTTATACACTAAGATCTTTCTTTAAAGAAATATGAAGACTATTTAATAAATTTTCCTCAAGATGTGTAGTAGGTGCCAGAAAAGGAATGTATGTCACAGTTCAATCTAGAACCAAAGCTTTTGTTTGCTCTCTATACCATAAAATCATTACGCATAAAAACACTGTGTAGCTATGTTGAGTGAGAAACTAGGAAAATACAGTGTCTGATAATCTGTCCAGGCACAATAGCAGATGTCTTTAGTCTTATTACTAATGAGGAAGAGGCAGCTGGATTTCTGTAAGTTCAAGGTGTTCCCGGGCTAAATAGTGAGTTCCAGGCCAGCCAACACTACATAGAATTATTTTTTAAATAATTCAAGCAGCTTTCTTTCATTTTATGAAATGTGAATACATTAGCCTAGATCAAATTTTATATAAGGTAAACTTATATGACAAAATTAAATTTTTCATTCAAAATTTTCTTCTCTTATAATTGACAGAAAAGATATGAAATATACATTCTTGTCATTTTTATTATTTCTTTTAATTAAAATTATGACATTCTGATTATCAAATCTGATAGAGTCCATCAACCATTTTGAAAGTCTTAAAATCCATCCTAACTCCTGAAGTAAATTGAATAAAATTTTCAAGTAATATCCAAAAGGAATTAAAATGCCTTGAGATAAATTAAACATGTGGTATATGAATTTTTAAATGATGAAAAGGAAATAAATTATTTGGCAAATAGCATATAGCTTACTTATGAACAGTTTGCACTAATCCATTGTACTTCAATTAAGCACATTTTCCACAATTCTTCTATACCTTAACTTGCTATATTTACTTTGGTATATTTTAAATACCACATTATGTTTCGAGGCACACTTTGCTATTTTGATCATAGTTTTCTCCTTATTCTTATTTCTCTTCTCTGTAAAGAATTATTGTATCTTATCATATGATGTATCTTACATTTAAACTGCCTGTGATACTTACTAGATTCATTTAAATTATACAAAGATATATTCCCAAATGTTTGAAACTTAAGCTATCTACTATAGCTTCCATTTTTAGCTTGCAGAATTAAGGATATATTCAATATGCTAAAGTTCAAATTCTCAATCCAGGAACTTTTCATTTTTTAACAAAATAAAAATAACACATTAACTTGTTTTTTTATTTTAAAATTAGAAATCACTGTCATTTAGCTATGGTGGTGATTTTTTAAACTAACAAGCTTATCCCTGTTTTGAAATGTTCATTCTGATGAAACTCTGGTGATAATGAAGAATACCTCTCTCCTTTAGGTACATCTTGACGACTTGGAAAATTCAAGTTACACCCAGGAATTCCATTCACCTGTGCTTACTCACCTGGACCACAGCCACATAGAAACTGCCTGAATGAGACATTCCGAGAAATAGAACTCGGGCTGTGACTCATCCCTTTATTGTAGTGGAGCCTTAGAGGGAAAAGGCAGGGGGGATATACTGGTTGTTAGGAAAATGTAGGTTACTAGAAGAAAATAACATCCTCCATTAATAAGATCTAAGGTGCGACTCACATAATTATTTTCCTTCTTAAGATTGATGAGGCTCATGAGGCATTTCTTTAAACTGTTGACAGCACCTCATAAATGCCTGAGGTGTATAGGACTGTATATGGTTTTAGAAAAGATTTTTATAAAGAAGGTGGAGATCCCAACTCCCTTCATGCTGTTTCTCTCTGTATATATATTTATGTCTGAGTGTGTATTCTAGGGTTTCTGGGAAGTGTCTTGACAGAGAACCTAAGCTGAGCAAAGCAGCCTTGATCTGAGTGAGCTAACTGGCACCATGAAAGTAGCAGGTGTCTTTCTGCTCATCTCTCTGGCTCTTCTCTGCTTTTTCTCAGGTGAGTTTTTCCTTACAATTAACATCCCATAGTTACATCAAAGCCAAAAGGAGATGAGGAGATCTTCCTCACATTTCAAAATCCTAATGATTTTTATGTAAAAGAGCAGTTAAGAAATAATATCATAATGATGACACTGGTAATGATGATGATGACGGGGACAGTGGCATGGATGATGAGAAGTGACACTCACCAAGCATAGGCTGCTGTACTGACGGCGGCTGTAGATCATCTCTGGTTATTTTGTAAGAAGTTTGTATCCATGTTCTTCATGTAGGAAACTGAGACACGGAGAAAGCAACTGCTAATCTACTTATAACAATTCTGTGGAATTTATAATTTGTATTGAGGTCTTAAAGAGTTCATTGTCGATGATTATTTGCAAGAACAAGTCTAGAAGACAAATAATTGGCATAAAAACTAATCTTGGCTTTTCAGGAAAAAAAAATGTCCTTGACTTTTTTTATTATATCAGAGAGAGTCAAGTAATTGAAATTGAAACAGGAAAGGAGACAGAAACTCAACGTGAAGCTTTGAAAAGGAGTTATTGAGACCTAGAGTGAAGTATTTTATACTTTATATCTCAGTATAAAGATACTCATGTTGAGAAGAAACAAAACCTGCATTTGTAGGTCAAAGGAAACCCTTGATGATCATAGCATTTTCTCTTTACAGTCTCTTCTTTTTAATCTATTGGCTAGTGGTTAGAGTGTCCATTGAGGTAAATAGACCATGGTACATTTCCATCTTTCCCACTAAATTCTTACATTAACTAAAGAAATTTCTCAGTCTTCTTGGATACTTTTTCCTGTGTATATGATAAGGGATGAGACTAAACTTGGGGTGTGGGGTGCCATCCATGGGTTATATATTATTTTCTGGGACTGTAGATGATAAATATTGTGGCTTCAAGGTTACTAAGAATTTGGAAAAAAAATCAATGAGATAAAGTTGATTTTAAAAAAGCTCTCTATAGTTAGCCATATTTATGAAGCAAATACTTATATATATTAAAATTTAGATGAAAGATTATTCTAATATTGTCAAATAAGTTTGTCTGTTAAAACCAAACTATACCAAAAATATTTTCCTGAGGTAGCAGAAAGATAGACCTAGTTAAAACTTAATCTCTGAAGTCAGTTGTCATCCTTGGTAGCCTACCATTGTAAAGATGAATTTACTCTAACAAGATCTAATTGCCTGAGTTCTTCAGAGAATGAATACTACACAAACACACCAGACATCATTCATGGGGGTAGCATGCTCAAGGAAACTAATGTTGAAAGTGTGAAAGTGAATTTAAGTCCTAATATTTCAATCATTCAGCTCCGAAACCTTTCTGAGTTTCTTTTTCTTGTGTAAATTGAAAATACAGAATAAGCATTCTTATATGAGGAATTAAATCATAAAATGCATATAAAAAGTTTGAAATAGTAGAAGGGGAACAATAGCTATTCAATAAATGTCTTATATTAATGCTATACCTAAAATACAATAAAGAGCACCTTTTCTTTAAGCATTGTCAATATGAATTTAGTTTCTGCCTTGCTGTTCCCAAATATAAAACATGGGCAAATACTTTCCTTTCCAAGCATAGGTTTTTCAAAGTGAAATATTGACTGTAAATTATAATAATTAAATTTCCAAGAACATAAAAATCACTGACAAGATTTACAAAACGTCAGACACCCCAGCACCTAGTTTCATAATGTGTGATTTCCAAGGAAGGTGGCAGTCTCTGTGTCCATAACAATCACCCATTCTTCCAGTTATGACTCATTGCTGCTGGGAAAGCCTCAGGAAGAGATGACGTGGCCGCTATAAAATTTAAGAGCTGTGGATTTTTCTGCGTTCATTAATACATTGCACGTGGAAATATGTGTGCCAACTACCCCTGAGTGCCAGTCCATGTTGGAGGCAGCATTAGCCTGTACTTCCTCATTGAAGAAGCTTTGGTCTTACATGCATGAACGCTCTTGATTCATTCACACCTGCTAAGAAAGCACCACACACCCAAAACCATGAATATTAATATTAAGAGAGAAGAGGATGAGAAGAAGACTATATAAGAAACCATCTTCAAGAACTCCGAGAAGTAAAACAGGCAAAGAAAATGAGAGATCAGAAAGAGGAGGGAATCAGTCTTTAAGGATGTATACATGGATCATATCTTTAAAATTGAATTTTGATAGAAAGCACAGAGTTCCTGAGTTTAGCAAGTAGTAAACTATTCCACTCTCCATTGTATATGCTTTGATAGAAGGGAAGGGCACTGCTCCTTGGGATGCTGGTCAAAGCAGAATTTCCAAGCCCATTTCTGTGAAGTGAAGCCAAGAATGATAAAGTCACTCCCATCATGAATGAAAAGTTAGGGCAAGACTGTGTCATGAATCTCTCGATCTTTCACTTAACCCTGATCACCAACAAAATAAGCGAGCAGACTTGAAACTAAGACCCATGGGGCTTTAGGAAATGGCCAAGAGCTGCCATGATGAGTGCAATATTCCTGCTAAATTTGCAGATCTCACTGTTTGCACATTCAGAAATTACAGTGTTTGGAATTTGTGCTTTTTTTTTTCCAGGTGCCTTCAGTCAAGGAGGACAGGTTAGTACTTATCTGTCTCTATTTTTCTGGCCAAGGTAGTGTATGGCTGCTATTCCCTGGCTCAAAAAAGTTTTATCTATGCTATGAAAGAAGTTAGGGAGGGAAGAGAAAAATGCCTAATTTAGAAATCACACGTAACAGTGAGATTTTAAACTAGTTTCTCATCTTACACATTTTTAAGTTTAAAAGAGCTTAAACCTACGTTTTTATACACTGACAGTGTGCTATGTTATGCACAAACACAGGATGGCTGAGAAATAAAGTCTATGTCCTAGTCTTAACTTAACCGGACTATTGAACTGAAAAGTTAGCAGTTCGCCAGGTTGATAATACCACAGCTATTAAACTAGGCACTAATAATCACTTTGCAGAATAACTTGCAAACAAGGTAAAAATGATTTGGAAAACTATAAACACTAGATGTGAGTTAGTTACTAATATTTAATTAACTCCCTTTCATTGAGTTAGAAGAGAGGTTTTTGGTCTTTTTTTTGGTTTTTTTTTTTAACAGAAATAAGAAATGAACATAGTTTTGTGTACGAAGGATACAGTCTTCCACACCCAAATTTAATGCAAGTTGGGGTTAAAAATCAGAGTGTATTGTTGCTTTGTTTTGTTTTTCGGTCTAATGTTTATTCAAGAGCATTTTTATTGTTCTTTTTTTAATCTAACCATTGATAATTTATACAAACAAACAATGTTTGCCCTAATGGCCCTGCAAATTCTGTTGGGCATTCAAATTTAATTTGGGTACTAACTTTTTAGATTTTAGAGTTATCTAAGGGTGCTTGACATCAAAATTTTCAGATAGCATTGCCAACTGATTTAGCATGCAAAGAAGTTTAAAAATTACTTTTCAACTCTGGTGTATGCATTATATTCATGTTTGTTTTTATTAACTTTAGTATTTAATCAATTAAGATACATCTTAAATTTGATAGTGTATTCTATTTGTCCACATGTGTATGTATTTATATATATACATACATGTGTGTTTGTGTTCTTATATGAGGTCATATATTCTATAATGTATGTACTCAAAAAAATGTCATACTACAGTTTATACAACATTTAGAAGCAAAAAAAAAAATAAGTCAGCCAGCATGTTTCATACTCCATTAAACTGTAAAATAAAATAATCCATCTATTGCACATAAATCTACATAGTTATAAAAGATTTGAAATTTAACCCCAGGTTTATCATTAACCCATATGTTGCTTCCTTTCTTGGGATTTTCATTTCTGAGAGTTTACTTGTGTTTTATATTGTGTTTTATATTGCTCAGGTATTATCTACTAATTGCATATCCTGTTGTTTTGCATGTCTAAGTATTATGGTCTGCTTGCTTTAGGGTCACCTGGCTTTCTTTCTAAATACAAATATCTTCATGTAAGATGTTGAGGCAACAGTTGTATTGTTAAGGAATTTGAATCTGAGTTCTAAACAACTGCACAGGTCATAGCTACACAAAACAAAATCTATCAATTAAAAAAATGAAAAGAAAAACAAAACAAAGCAAAAGCCAGAAACTAAGCTAGACAATGAAGAACTGGCTTTGGAGTCAGACAATGTGAATGAAATGTAATTCACCTGTTGTGTGTGTTGGCCGTTTTTCTATTCTTACTACCTCTGTTTCCACATCTTTAAGGTGAAGGATGAGTTGCAGTAATATCTAATGCCTCTTTCTGCTCTAAACATTTGAATTTTTATGAACCAAGCCTGCACTGCCAAGGCTGTTGCCTCTGAACCATAAAGCACAAGGAAGGTTTTGATCTCTGAGACAACACCCAAGTGGCCTTACTCTTTCTGCTTTGCCAGAGGGAGAGTGAGGCAGAAAGATGTATTTATGTTAGGAACATGCTGGTTCAAGTCAGACTCAGGCAAGACAAAAGGATGTCAGGTTTCCTCCAGCATTCCAACATTCCAGCACTCAGTTCATTTTCCCCATGCCAGGAATTTTGTCCATGACACATCTTCCAGATTATAGGGTGCACTCCTAATTATAGGTCTTTTCAAAGTTTACAATTTTTTACAACCATTCTTCAAGGTATCAGGGTGTGTTTGGTCACACCCATACGTGTGATCTCAGCTCTGAGAAGGCTGAGGCAGGAGAAGCATCTAATCTTAAGGTTAACCTTTGTTTATGTAATGAAAAGCAGACTGGACAAGCCTAGGGTCCAGACAGAGTGAATGCTCTCTGCTTTCCTATTCTTTTCTACTTTCCAAGCCTCGAGGTTTGAGTGTCATACCCTTGAGAGTCATTTAAATATATGGTCCTATCAACTGCTTTTTTTCTTTAGAGTTTTTGGCATAATTAAGTATTGTATTTTAAGATAAGGACTGATTAATTTTAATACATTCTTAAAACATTGTTCCACTACTAAGATGAGTTTAAGTTCTTGGTTCTTCACAGTCCCCATGGTTTTATTTAAAATTAATGTATTGACAATATTTAAATGCAGTTTGAATGTGTTAGACAGCATCCACAATGTAAACACAAATAGAAATATAACTGAAGCCTGGGAAAGGGAATGTCGGTTAAGTCTACCAGCAACAGAAAGTGAATGGCATCAAGTCCCAGGACTGCTGGATCCATACTGACTTAGCTGTAATCAACTGTAGAGAGCCACCATGTAGTCTCTGTAAATAGTTTCGGGAAGTACTTTTTTCTGACAAATTTGATGTGATGATTCTTATTGACCTGTCTTATGCAAAGAAGATGATGAAAATTACAGTTTAAAATAGCCATTCTCCAAATGTAGAAAGGTTGATACCAGTAGAAAATCTTATACAGAACTGAACTTATGGTATTGGTCCAGACAATAAATGCTAAAAACTTTTACAGGAAATAAACTAGGGTTAGCAAAGAAGTGGAGAAGTGAAGAAAGAAGGAAGAAAAGAAAGAAGAAAGGAAGAGAGAGGGAAGGAAAAGGGGAAAGAGTGAGGGAGAAAGGAAGGAACAAATGGACAAACGAATGAATGAACGAACGAACATTTCAAAGGGGAAAATGACAGCTTCAGCAAAAGATCTAGCTGAGAAATTTCAAGAGTGGAGCTTCCAGGAAAATGGAACCATTAGAATACAAGGCTGCTGAGAGGACAGAACACATGCTTTGGAAATAACTAATTATTGACTATGAAGTAAGCTGATAATTACAGGTTTCTTAATCTGCTTACATGAAAATTAGAGAATGAGTTACTGATCATGGCATGAATCGGGATTATTTAAGAAAGTACATACATATTCTTAGAGAAAATCAAGTATTTAAAACTACTTTGAAAATAACCACAGCCATATTAAGGAAGGGAAAAAAGCAAGAAGTGGAGATGAAGGAAACAGACATATTATAAATTTTGGAGTTTTTAAAAGATTTGAGTGATCAAGAATTGCATATACCATAAGAAACTAGTAAAGGCTTTATTAGTAACCAGGGTTTCTATTCTTGTAAGCATCGTTTTTGGAGAGCAGTGGCAAAAGAAAAGGGGCACATGAAAGTGGAAAATTAGTCTAGATCAGCAGTTTTCAGCCTTCTTAATGCTCTGATGTCATGTTCAGAGCATTGTCAGAGTTCATGTCAGTCTCCCATGTTGTGGTGACTCCAACCATAAAATTATTTTTATTGATATTTCATAACTGTAATTTTGCTACTGTTATGAATTGAAATGTCAATGTTTTCTCTAATGGTCTTAGACAAACCCTGTGAAAAATATCTTCAACCACCACAGGGTCAGGAACCCCAGGTTAAGAATCACTACTCTAAACAGAGATGGGTTTAGAGGACTGGAATTGATGAAAGATGGAGTTAGAATTGAAATTATTTTTCAACACATAAGAAATTATATTATCTTCCATCTAAAGTCCATGTGCTTTGTGTGTGAGAATGTCCATTTTCCTTGACTTGATTTGTAAACTTAATATGATTAAAATACTAATCATCTCAAGTCTTTAGTTGACTTTATAAGCACACGTGTTTAAATTTCAATAAAAGTAAACAATTCTACTGTCTCTATTAATAATTACAGCTAATCTGGTTACTGAAATGTCTTGCCATTCTTGCAATCTTTTGGAGAAAACAGTTCTTTGAAGAACCACAAGAGGTCAGGCCAATACTTGGTTTGATAGCCAAAACCTGATGAAACTCTTGAATATCAAAGAACATTAAATGAAATTTCTTTTTAAATCTGAAAGCAATCCAAACAACACTAAAAATAAATCTTATTCAAATATGGAAGCAATCACCCTAGAATTCTGGTATGTGATACACTTTACCTGGCTTGTGTTTTAGAGAATACTCCTCCAACAGGAAATCTTTACAACTCCTTTGAGACATTTTCATTAGATCCACAGGGCACTATAGTTCTCCTTACATTTCTAATGCTCATGAATGGAACCTAAGTGGAGAAATGGTAACCTACCATCTCCTCCATCTAGATCAACTTCAACTTGCAGGAAGGAGCCCCTCATTTAGCTGTTATTTAAACCAAATTTAAAAGATGAAATTCAGGCACATGAAAGGCATGCCAGAAATAACTCTTAATATTTTTCTTCATGTGGTAGACCTGTGTGTTCCTTTTATCTCTCACACTGCCTTGTAGTATGATTTTTGGTTGGTTGGTTGGTTGGTTGGTTGGTTGGTTGGTTGGTTGGTAGGTTGGTAGGTTGGTAGGTTGGTAGGTTAGTAGGTTGGTTGGTTTTTTTTTGTTTGGTAACTACATTGGCATTTTGTGCCTCTGCAACAGGTTCCTCTTCTTATTGCTGTGATGTTGCTTAACCTTTACAGTGAATGCAAAGGGTTTCCTAGATATAGAAGAAGCATTGAGTCAGAAAAGACCATGTTTCCTATCCAGATCAAGAACTGGAGACAGAAAAGCTTTATTTAAGCCACTTCTATGAAAGAAGTCATTGTTACTTTGCAGGTGATTCAAACTAGATAGGCCACTGGAAAATACCTAGTCTCATGAAAGAGATCATGTTCTACAAATGGAAAAGGCAAGGGTTTGTTTGTTTTTTTTTAATGGACTGGCCACAGGGAATTTGACCATTTTCCAAAGAGTATATGGGCAACACAAATTGGACTTGGTGGGTGTTTTTTGTTTTGTCTTGTCTTGTCTTGTCTTGTCTTGTCTTGTCTTGTCTTGTCTT